CTTAACGTGGCAGCAGTATCAAACTCTTAACAGCTCAAAGCACACAAGGAAGAGAAACTAATTTTATGTCATTCCATCGAACTGATTTGTATATGAAGTAGCAAAGTTTATTTTCTTTATCCTTTTCCCATACAGTATACCATCTCTTCATTACACTGCATTTTTTTTATTGCTTATTCCACTATACATCAAAAACTCTCCTACTTCTGTACATTCAAGTGGGCCCTTTAAAATTAAAAGAACTTGCAAGCTTCCAGTCTTCTGTTTACCTTAGTTGTCTCTTGTCCAGGCATCAGGTTGAAAACTCAGTGCAAATGATCCTAACATGTGCATTCATTACCACAGGAACGCAATGTGATCTCTCCAACTAAATCCCCAACTTTGGACAAATGTGGGACCAGAATTGCAGGACACGTTATGTGGCACAATTATCTGTAAGGATATGTGGAAGGAGAGTGTCTGCTCCTTTAAGGGTATCTGGTCAAGGACCTTTTTCAGTGTTATAGGGACAGTAAGAAAAGGAGGAAGCCATGAACAAGAACATACAGTGACACAAACCTGACTGACATGATAAGGGAGGCAGTGAAAAGAACCCAACCTGGTCAGTCACACCGATTGATAAGGCCACATAAGAGTTTGAGAAAATTTACTGCAGTGAGGTTATCTGGCTGGGGACATGTCAGTTGGGAAACTAAGCAGAAAGGGGGGAAACCAGAAACAAAATTCACTGAGACACAAACCTGACAAAACAACACAGAGACAGTGGCAAGAAACAGGCCTCACCACACACATTGATTGATGTGCTATCAAGAAACCACAGGTCCCACTTCCAGGAAGATCAGCCTGGACTTTGCAACTCATAATACTGCATACCGTGGAACCCCAGACTGCGAGGGGGTGCAGGAATTGACAGAGCTGTACAGACTCACAGGGTGGGGGATGCACAGGGGAAAGGGAAGCAGGGGGAACAAAGTGGGGGTAGAAACAAAGGGGTGTAAATGGGGCCGGGTTGGCTGTAAAACAGGCCTGGTCAGCACGCTTGTCTGGCCGAGCCCTATGTGTGATCACTGCAGTCTGTCCTGGCTTCTTATGTCGTCTTACTAAATCTTCTCTTAAGCATCTCTCTGTTCATGCTCATCCTCTGTCCCCTGTGAATGCGTGCTGCAAGGACTCAGTGCCAGCTACTGGTGAGACCTGTGTGTGCACGAGGGGAATTTGGTGCCAGCTCCTGGCCTGTGGTGCCAACAACTGGAGCGAGCAGGGTCTCCATGTCAGCTACTGGAGCCAGTGAGGGTCTTGAACCCCCAGGCTCTGGAGTAGGAACGGTGTCTGTTCCCAAAACCAGCTGTCGGAGGGGACAGCATGAGCAAGGTGACCAAGTTGCTCAGAGCCACCAGAGCAGGACCATGGGCCACTGCCTGTGTGCCTGGTGCCAGCTGCAGGGGGAGTGTGTCTTCCCTGATACTGGTGTGCCTGGGGTGTGAGCGCATATACACCAGCAAACTTTAAGCTGGACTAGCCAGTGACTAGGGGGGCCCTAGGGCCTGGGTCCCCCAGTCCATGTGCTATGAAAAATATGGGGTTTTATTAAAAAAAAAAAAAAATAAATTGACCTCTAGGCTTTTCTACTTCTGTAAATGACAGAAATAAAGTCCGTTAATTCATCAGTGATGTGAGTGGATTCTGTCTCTGTTAAAGGAAACCAAAAAAAATGCAGCTAAGCAACCACATTCTCATTTTGGCTGATTATGCTTCTAACTCCGCAGTGTTGTGTCTGCAGATAAAGGCAAGAGAAGCACAGAAGCAGCAAACATATTACAAAGTATTCCATCTGTCAGTCCCCACAATTTTTTGGCAACTTGTGAATAGTAGATGGTTATACTGGAGCAGACCTATGCTGTTCTGTAAGTCTGCTGTTTTGGACAGTGCCTAGTAATAATCGTAGTTACAACACTGATTGACATATAGGTCAAAGGAATGTTAAGACTGGCATGTGCTCATGAGATGTGCAGTCTGTATAGGCCACCAAGAAGCACACCAATTACTGCTGAGTCTTCTTCCTGAAAGTAATCTCCACCTACATAGAATGCACAAACTCACTTTAGTCTTCCTGCTATGATCTTAAGTTCTGATAATGGTTTAAAAAGGATCAGTCGTCCTCAAACCACCAGCTGAACTAGCACCCAATGTACTTCTAGAATTTAAGTCACTAACTCCAGCTGGTACGTTAGGTATCTCACATCTGGCTTGGATGTGAGGGTATTGGGACAGCTATTAAAAAAATAAAGCTGTATCCTTTTGCTTCTACAGATTTTAACTTAAAAACAAAAGTTTATACAAACTGCCCCTGTAAATGAACTGGAATGAAGACAGGCATACTCCCAAACTGTTCTGGATGAAATAATATCTTTTCAGCACTAACTGAGTACACACCCATTCTAAAAAGCAAAGCTGGCACAGGAGGCCAGTATGATGTAGAAATAAGATCAGCTTATTGAAGTGAAGCTTCAAGTTACTGAAGTCTTTTGCCCATGTGAAAACATTCTGCCACAGGAATAATATAGTAAGAAAGCTTTACCTCAAAGACACATAAAAGAACAACATGCTGTCTTGCACAGGTGTAAAAAGAAAACAGAGCATAAAGTTTCACTATTTGAAATAGTAACAGAAAATAGCAGGTTTCCTTCCCGAGAATCAGACCAAATCCCTTTTCATTTCTTTAATGCTCCATAGTCAAAGAAATGACTTTCCTCCCTTCATCTCTCATTGTTCTTTTATTAAGTCAAAATATTTCTTGTATTGGCTGCTTGTAGAGTTCTCAACTTTGCTTGCAATAATAATCTCTCCCCCTTGTCAAAAAAGGATGGCTACTTTACAGATGCCTTCAGTATCAAGATTCATCAGCACAAAAATGGACAACAGAAAGCAGAACAGTACATTAAAAGAAGAACTGAAACTACAGTTGTGCAGTGATTGGTAAGATTAAGATTCTGCCATTCAATTTAAGTGAGTTAAGTAGTAAACAAGACACCACCACATAAATAATTGGAAAAATCACTAAGATCAGTACAGATTATGGTATTTTGTGTCCACGAGACACAAAAAAAGAAAATTCATTTTTCTTAAGTGAAAAGGTCAGTTCAGACCTCAGAACAAATAAAAGATCAAATCAAAGGAACAACAGCATATATATTTGTTAGTTTCATAAAATGCATGTTCCATAGAATACTGTGTAAGAATAAAAAGGAGTCAGTAATGCACAAATTCTCCGCATGATTTGCTATTAGATATTTCATACAATGTGGGGAAAAATACGTCTTTTGCACAGCTAGCATAGTATTGAATCAAACACAAATCATGCCTGCAACAGTAGAACCTAGACTTCCCAACTGGGATGGGAGATCATACTTCCTGTTGCACTAAAATAAAGGAAAACGCATCTTAGCCCTAAATGGTTTAGGAACAGAAGCAAAAGGAAAATCTGCCATGAAATTATAAATACAAATAGACGCCCGACTTGTGCAAGATCCACTGACAGGCAAAGATAACAGCACTAAGGAGGAGATGTTTGTGTCCTCAGTTATGATGCCAGATACGTAGTCATATTCCGCTTCCAGTTCCATAGGTTTAATGTGATTTTGAGCAGACTTGGTCATGCCAGCTGCAGTGTCTTTTAAATACAACAGATTTTAAACACAGCCTTTGATCCATTAGCAATTCCATGACAGACCAATTCAGATCAATCTGCCATAATTACATACTATTTCTATAGGGATTTGACATTGGTCATAGGCAAAGAAGCAGCCTGGAAAGGCTTCCAACTTAGACCTTGTCCCTTAGTGCTCCTTAGGTCCTTTAACAAACTAAAACACTAGGGACACAAATCCATTAACAAATTGTTTAACATTTCAGTGCATTTCACTGTAACAGCCCCTTCTTCAAGCTCTTCCTGTATTTAGGTACTCAAGTTTGTTCTTTACCCAAATATTGTCTCTTTTGCTCTTTCTACATGTGAAAAATATTCTTTAACTTTATAACTATACCAGTTATGAAAACGTGGCCTACACAAGTGTTTAAAAATTAAAGGATGGCATCTTTTGAAATTTTCACTGTTAGTTTAACTGTATTATTTCCAGTAAAGTTAATCTAAACATTGTCTTCAGTAACAACAAGTACATGAGCATCAAGTGCTTCTTAAACCCTGATCAGGCAAGAATCACAGCTGCATGAATGCAAGTGCATGCACACACATACTGTAACAAAAGGGCAAAAATTCTATAGAATAAGAACTCAGAAAGGTGTGTGGCACTGCTGATACCCCAACATTGAGCTCAACAGTGACATATCCCACAACTAACAACCACAAGAGCTTATGGGCATCATTTCCATCAAAACCAAAGTTAAAATCCTAGTGCAAGGGTTTTGTAACCTTGCAAGTCTATGATTAAAGCTTTGCAAGTATATAACTGAAGCTTACAGTAAAACGTACCTACAGTTTAACATAACAGCCTCGGTGAACTTTGTAGCTCTTTCATCAGCTTTCTGCAGATAGATATTTTTTGTAGGTTTAGAATCCAAAGAAAGAGACCTCCCAACACAAAGCAACGTGTACTACAGAACACAGACATACACACATACGTAGCCAAGTCCCCTGTTTTTAGGGGGTTTTTTGTGTGGTTTTTGTTGGGTTTGTTATTTTTATGTTCTACAGACCATCTTTTATAAACTATTAGTTTCATCATATGCATACTACAGTACAGACATATTTCCACCATATGAATAAATACTTGTAATATGCTTAAAAAAAAGGGGAACATAAATCTTGCCTTTGAAAACTTACCAATGCCCAATGTATTTAAGGCTCACTAAGTAATTTCATACTTGTAATGGTCTCTACATTTGAAAAATGCATTAGTAAAATCTACAGATTTTTAAAAACAGTTCAGCAATCTCTCTTAAATGTTTAATAGCTTCCCTCCTCCATAAACCGCCATAAACTTTTTCTTTCAGCTCCCTCCTTTCATGCTTCATGTTTTTACATTGTTGTCTTTAGAAAGGGAACAGAAGTATCAAAAAGACACAAACAATATTCAGTTCAGCTCCTTTCAAACTTAACAAAATTCTATTAAATACTCGGGGTAGATTTGGTTGGCATCAAAGATAACGAAGATCTTTGGGTTCCAGGTATTATCCACACAGCTGTCGTACAAGTTCACAAAACTTCCATCTTTTGAAGGAGGCCTCATGTATTTTGAATCACCATTGATATAGTCACCAGTTAATACACGAGCAAGAAACATAACTTTATCTTGTCTATGCAGATGAGGCTGCACATTCACACCATGAATTTGAAAAGTATTTCCATGCTTCATGTCCTCTTTGCAGAAACGACTGGAATATGATGCATCTCTTGCGAAATAGGTCCCTTTCAAATAAAAAAAACAACAGATGACATTCTTATCATGACAGCGTAACTACTAGAACATGGATATAGGTATCAGGATGATGAAAGATGTCTGTTCTTTAGTCCAGGGATTTAGTTTTGTTTTCACTTTTTCCTAAATCATTGGATTATAGCAACATGGCCATATATTTTTAGTAGGGACGTTTTAGCAGGGAGATTGTCTTGTGATCAACACTGCTTTGTTGGGCATCTTTTCCCCAGGCTCCCTGGTCCTACCAGACAGTTGTGACAATCACATTCCTTACTGCATCCTAACTTTCTTAATTACACTTGATGTAAAAGCAGAGCTGTATTAAACAGCTCTTGGATAAATACAGGGCGTACTTCACAAAGAACATACTATAGGGAATACTTAAAAATGTTGAACTGTTAAGATTACCAAATTGTTGTATGTGACAAAAATACTTACCCTTTCCATATACAGCAGCATGCATCCCATTTATTCTCCAGTCAAAGTTATGAATACATATTGCTTCTACAAATTCATTACTGGTGCCATGAAATAACATCTGCTCATTAATAGTTGGGACACCCCTTTTCTTCTTTAGTTGAGCTTTTTTCCTACAGAGAACACACAACACAGCATGACAAACATCTGCACAATCAAATTAAGTTACTACTCTGAAAACACTGCAGAAGGGACAGACCTAAAACACTCCATACATTCCACTTTCACAAGTGTCTAGATGATTCTACTGTTTAAACAGATCAGAAATCTTAAGGTACATGTTTAAAAATCACACACTTCTGGATGTTGTGGACTATTTTCAGAAGAAACCCAAAATAAGGAAAAAAGGACTTTTATAACAATTTTATCAACATTGTTCATTTGGCATTAGTTTCAGTGTGGCCATTTTCTTTCCATCAATCTGCTTTAAGTGACTTTCTGTCAGCTGGGTTTTCCTAAGATCCATGAAGAAGTTCACTCTGGATCTGTGTCTAAATCACTGAGCTGTTCATAGTTACGATCCCTTGACTGGACAGGCAAAAACAAGTCGGAGTGCATCATAGCTTTGTTTTGGTCCATGTACCCAAATTTTCTTCCTGTAAAAGCCACAGTGCATGGGACACTGTGATACATGCTTAGGTTTATCAGGCTCGTGCTTAGGTTTATCAAATTAAGCAATGTGCTTATAAATGGAGTGCACACTTGAACTGGGGAAGGGTTCTCAGGGCCTACAGTTTAGATGTAGTCTGAGGAAGTTCTATCAACCAGGTCCAGGGAAAGAAGGCAGCAAAGATTCTTTATCACATTAATGGCATTACATAGCAATTACACATTATTTATACATAAGTACATTTCACAATAGTGAAAATCTTGCCACACTTAGCTTTTAAGATATATTTATTCTGGTTTATTGTTCAGCTTTGTTTTTTTCTCTCTTCCATTTAGTGCAAACTAAAATACCTATGTCTTAGCAATTTAATTTTTTGGTGTCTTTTTCTCCTTACAACTGCTTTCCAAATCAGAAGAATGTCAGTAGAATCTCCAGAGCGTCTGGGAGGTTTCACTAAGTCTCATTTATGACATTTTGTGTCAGAGGCAGAGAGGTTCCAGGCACTCAAGTTCCACTCTATTAGCAATTCAACAAAATCCAGGAGCCAAGATTCCCCACATCCTGAAAAATCTACCTGCATGAGGTAACACCTCTGAGCTAGGGGCTAGTAATGCTGAACATTTGAAATTTTACAATCAGCAGCCCTCTACTGTCAGCTGCTGATCTCTGACAATGTATAAAGGTAGCCCAGAGTAACTTCTCTTGAAATACTGGAACAGAATAAATATATATAAAAGGTGAATAATCAATTGTCCAAAAATGTTCTGTAACAGTCCTTCACTATCTCCAACCAGTTGATTTCATAAAACCAATTTAAAATAGTCACTAACATGGGACTATTACAACAGGCAAACATGTTTTGACTGTTTCAATAAATGATGCAAATAAACATTCAAGTAATGCTCAAATTTAATCACTGACCTTATCAATGAAATAAAACACTTTCTCAATAACACAAAAGTATCAATTGTTCCTCATAAGTAGTGGAATATATTACTGAGCACACTGGGAAGGTGGTTCTGCAGAATGCAGAAATGCCACAGCAGGACTTCGTGTTGATTTGGAACAAAAAATTAGGAGTTCAACCATTCTAAAAAACACCATCTTAGCACTTTCCACCAGGCATGACATGATAATCCAGTAAAACAAAATGAAGTTGATCTCATACAGCTCTCATACAGGCAGTTCACTCAATAAAGTAGAAACCTAAAGCAAAACTAAATACCCATGTTCTTTGTACATATGCAAGCACACAAGCTGTTTCTAAAGATGATCAGCAATCTCACTGACTGTTTTCTACTTGCAGTACTCCTCTGCAACTCCAAACTGAGATGCATAAACCAAAATATGCTAGATTAAGTCATCTTCTGTTACTTTCACTTTCCCACATGGGACACCAAAAGAACTTTTAGTGAATTTAAAATGCTGGAATACCTACTTCTTTGTAAGGTACCGGGCAACAATTTCTTCACCAGTGTGTGGAAGCCCATCTACTCCAAGGTTGTATTTTACCCTCAACAGAAAAGCAGCTAAGCCTCAATTGCATACACTTATTCTAGCAATTTTCATTGTTACTGGTATTTTTTTGATACAGGAAAAAAGTTTTAAAACTGAAATGACTTTTCTCTATATACTTTTGTACCATACAGGAACTAAAAAGTACCTTGGTTTGTAGTTCAGTTATATGGCAATACTGTAATACTCCTGACATACGAAGTTATAATTCCAATTCTCAGTTTCATACCTTCAGAATATTCTAGCACAGCATCCATAGATTCAGAGTTCTTAAACTATGAATTCTGCTCACTGACCAGTCAGGAAAACTAGTATACTCTCCAAATGACATCAGTTCCTAAGCTAAGCAAAAAATGTCTTCCCCTGCCCCACTCTGCCATCTACACTGGAGACTCAAAGGACATTTCTGTTTCCTACTCCTATTCTCAAAAATTATGATTGGTATTAAGATGGTATAAATACACCTCTATAGAAACTTATTTGTAGAAAGGTAGATGTTGAAACACAAGGCCAAGCAAATAAGCCTTAATACTTCACACGTAAAGATAACCAAATATATTTGCAATCAAGAGAAGGCTCTCTTAACCAAGAACTTAAGTTAATTTCCTTATGCATATCTATGATCTAGCTTTAAATTAACAATAAATTATGTATATTTCAAAAAAAATCATATAACTTAGGCAAATTTTTAATATACATCTTCTTAGTTATTTCCTCACTATTTAACTTAGTTCAGTTGGTTTTAATAGTGTAATACATCTTTAAAACAGATTCTGGTATGTACTCCTTCTTAGAGGCTACACAAGTAACTTTTCTCAAACTGCTTAAGATTGATACTACAAAATAAGCAGAAGCAGAACTTGGCACTTCCTACTTCTTCCAGAACAGCACAATATGAAGAGGGAATAGCAAAGAATTTAGAAGGAGTTTTGTAGCACATTAGACTTAAAGACGTTACATGAATATGTGCTAACTGGACACCTATTTCCATCCTAGGTTTCATGAAGCTGAGAAACCAAACAAGCCACAAATATTCATTTGCTTTGTTCACTAAAAAATTAAAATAACACAAGCCTGTCAAGGAATTATTTTACAAAAAGCTTATTTTTGTTCTCCTTGCTTCACTCTAAGTATCATGGGCATCTACCACATGGACATCCTGAATATCTGTAATGCATCTTATCTGTGCTACATCTACATCTAATGCATTTCCACAAGTATTACATTTCTGCACCTGTAGAAGCTACAGAGTCTTGAATATGGAATTTTGAATACAGAGGAATGACAAAAAATTTAAAAGATAAAAAGTAACACATTTTCATTATTAGCAAAAGCAATTAAACATAGCTCTGATGCATGCCTTTGAGATTTGCTCCATTAACAATCCTAAGACTGTTGGTTTTAGAAATAATCTCACCTGCAAAAAAACTCCCACAAGTCTAGATTTTGTATTCTCTTAATTCTTTTAATTCGGTGGCTATCCATTGTTTTTCCAAAGAGACTAGAAACTTCATTATATTCATTTGTTTTCTTTTGCAATGGAATAAGCTGGAAAAAAAGAGGTTAGTACGATTTCAGTTCAATTCCTTATTTCATTATCACGTTTTTGACCAACTTGCTATCAACTCTTACCTGATACGGCTCCTCAGCGTTCACATTCTCCCAGTGTGAAGGCATAGGGATAGCCTCATTTTCACAGATGAAACTTCAAACAAAAAAAAGTAAAAACACATCACATCAAAGACATGAGGCACTTTCTTCCTGTCAATCTCCTGCTCCAAACAATACATCGTGCAGATAAACCCCAACTTACACAAAACTACTTAAGGTTTTGATTCTAACAAAGGCTGTTGTCAGCAGGTAAGGTCAAAAGTAAGAGGTCTTATTTTGTATTCAAATTCTGCCTTAGCCTACTATAAATAAACCACGGTAATGAACAGTTTTAATACACCATCTAACCAACAAAAGATAGGAAGATAAATCAGAAGAGATGGTCAGAAAGGTCCACAACATCAGGAGCACAACACTAATTTAGAAATGTGAGAGTGTAGATATAGCCTGAACATTCCAAACTATCAGGAATTACAACCAGCCTAAGCCTCTGGAAACTAAGCCCTCATTTGAAGTATTTAAAAGCATCATGTCAGAAATACACACTCAAAAATTACAGTTGAATTTGTTTTTTAAAAAAAAACAAAACCAAAAAACCCAAACCCTCAAAAAAGAGTGTTTTAAGAGTATACACCACATACATAGCAGCTTTTAAGCCTTAAAACTGGGACTAAAAGAAGCAATCTCCTGAAAGTAAGGAATGGTGTCATCACATGGAAAGAGAATAATGAATGCAAATCTTCAAGAAGCAAAAAAAACAAAAGTGAATTGCCACATTATTGCAGGCACATTTCAGCAAATATCCATTGAATAAACAGTTGACATTTCAAAACAACAGGCCTTCTTGAATGTCAGCGTTAAAAGGTTGCTACTACATTTGTTATTACAAATGCCAAATTTCTTTTTGAAAGTATAACCAGACTACAAGTCAGAACTAAAATTATTTCTAAGAAACTATTTGGGGAAGAGACCCTACATATTCCATATAGTAATTTTTACCTGTGGTAGTATTAGTTTATTCTTTAGTGAGTATCAGATTTACATCAGCGCAGCTTTACATCAATGACTGATCAAATGGTAAGAAACTTATAATCTAAAGCAATTAGATTCATAAAATACTCTGATTGTTATGATGCAATACCTTGTAGTTTCAAATCGTTTTAGAGTAAATGATTAAAACATACAGGCAAGAAAATATAACTCCATCTTTTTTTGCTGTTACACTAATACTTCTAAATAACTGATGAAGTCATTATCACAATGGAACAAACTACTCCATTTTTTGCTGCTGGTTCTCCACGGCAATTCTGATTCAACAGGTATCTACAGCAAGGGACTCCAATGGCTAAAGTCAGGCACAGCTTTAAGAACGCTGCCAAAGGATATCAGTATTCAGCATGCCTTGCCTCCCCCACTACAAGTTCCTTACTTTCTCAGAAAAAAAAAAGATAAAAAAAACCAAACTAAAAATTCTTGTGTCACTCTTCTTCTCTGAAATGTATTCCTTCTTCACTTGACTAGTTCTCCCACCTTGGTTCACCTCCCAAATTGTTTGATGCAAAAAGTAAACAAATATAAACAATAAATACAAAACCACATTTTTTTTTTCATTTTACTTAGAAGAATCAGGAATAAAATAAAAATAAGGAGTCTTCCTTTTATTCCTTACCTGAAAGCACTGACAGAAAAAGGAGCTCGCTTTATTGGACGTTGCTTAAGGGTAGTTAAGTTGGTTTGTTTCATCACTGAGCATAAAACAAGAGTTAGGATGAAAGTTTCTGGAATTCATCTATAGCATATGAAACATTAAGTGTCATTTTTAAAAACAACATTACTGCACCCGAAGTTGCTTGACAGGAGCTCCTATTTCAACGATTAACAAACCAGCATTCTCGATAAATGTTTCTGAACACTGGCCTCAGAATAATTGTCATTTACATGAGTTGGCAAAATATGCAAATATTACACAAACAAAACATTTATTGTTACAATACCCATCTAACATTCAGCCCCACTAAATCACTGGCAAAACTTCCACTGACTTTAATACAACTAGGATGACAAAGCATATTACTACTATCCTTAATGCAAGACATCATGATCTACAAACAGTAACATAAAAACATTCTTCAGCATCCGCATTTAGTGTTTTTACTCCAGATACAAAACAAAGGGTTTTTTTAAACAGACATTTCAACACAAATAAAGATAAAACCCTTTGTATTGTTACATACTACTTTACTCCCATTACATCACTGTTTTACCCAGTCCCCACTTTCTGTATTTGAAATACTATTACTTGATTTGATTTGGAAGAGGCTTCTATTTAAGCATATAGCTGTTTTGTCATTCAATCAGAAAATAAATATCTATGGATGGAAAAAAAAAAGAAAGGAAGTCAGGAAGTCATTAGAACATACCTCTGAACAAAGGACAGATTAATTTATAATTAGATACCCACATCAGAATCCTGTAATATTATATAATTTACAAGCATGGCGTAAGTGAGGTCTTTACAATCTATTAGAAAATCCTTTCGCCTATCTCCTTGTTATTCTGCAACAGAACTGGCTTCAACTACCCGCTGAATTATTAAATCACTTTGATGCCAGTATTTTGCAGAAAACTTCCATTGTATCAATGTTTCTTACATGGACTCTGAATGGAAGAGGATTTTCAAGCTCACAAGCAGTTGCACATTAAAGAAAAAAGGTTCAAATTTCCCAGTCTCATAGATGTATGCTACATACCACCTACAGCTGAGCTAAGTGGCGGTAACATGATGGAGTGCTATCAAACAAGACATACTGCTTTATTAATAAACTACACTAGAAAACATAACAGGGCAGCTGCTTCTAAAAACTCTTGTGTGCGTACCAGTAAAGAAGACATTTCCAATCACAAGTTTTGCACTAGATACAAGGACAATAATCTGCTGAATAAACAAATGAACTGGTGCATCTGGCACCTTATATTATTCAAATTTACTCTATGAAAAGATACATACCTGAAAAGTCTAGCATGTAGTTAAATTTTGCAGTAGTAAAAGAAACAGAACCATGTGGGTTTGTTCGGAAGCTCCTTTCAATATCTTCACTGCTAACAGCACAATGACTGTTTGAATCAGTCTTCAAAATAAATGAAAAAAGCACATTTAGTCAAATTCAGCAATAGGTAGTTTGATGTATGCAATTCATCAGAGCTAATATAACGTCATAGGTAGGTACCTGAAACATATGCCATTTACCACACTCAGCCAAATAAAACCAGCCCCATTGGGTATCAGAGGTATCCATCTCTTCAACTGAACTTGACATCTTTGGAAAAAAATCTTCTGATGTTCTTTGAAGCATTTCCTGAAACATTCACACACATACACAAAAAAAAAAGTTTTGATAATATTTGCAAAAATGAGTTATTTAAGAAATTAATAAAAAGTAAAATAAAGTGGATTTGTAATACTTAAAAAAAAAAAAAACACCCACCAAAAAAACCCTGGCAGGTGGAGAGCAGATGTTTTCTCTTTTTCAGAGAAAAATTCTCAATTTGCTACTTATCCAGTATTATCCTTTAAGTTAGTTAAACAGTTTCAAAACTCTCTCAAATGTCTGTAAGTGTGCCAGTAAAGGCAAGAGCTATAGGCTTTGTCAGATCAAAAAGAGGTGCCAAATTTCATACTAATGATCATACAAGCTAAGGCCATTCATATACACAACAGGCTCTGAGTTACATACCACTCAGGAATGAGGTGTCTGGGTTACATCTCATAGCTTGCTGAAAACATCTGCTAGGTACTCATCAACACTGAACACATCAGACTGGATATCAGAAGTTGTCAGAAAAAAATTAAAAAACGAGGAAAAAAAATATAATTATTTAACTGTGCAAGTCCACAGTGCATTATTCCTCAACGCTGCATGAAGGTTTGTTTCCTCTCTAACGCACTCACTTGAAAATGATACAGTAAAATTACTGGTACTCGTAATTACAGAGAAGTTTCACACCAAAAGCCAGAGCGGCTTCCACACAAGCAATGACTACTATAGTTGGGGTTCTACAGGTTGGAAGAAAAAGGACTGAAGAAAAGATCTACAAAATCATGACAAAACCAAATAGAGAATAACAAATCACATTTTCTTCCAACATAAGAGAGACATGTATCAAAGGTTGCACATGTCAAGTTCAAAACAAGTGAAAGAGAAGCTTCTTCATAAAACAGATGGCAATCTATGGAGTTCCTTTTCATGATACGCTGTGGATGCTGTACATTTATGGAAGTTCAAAAACCAGCTAGACAAGTTCCAGCCTACCAAGAGCTATGGCAGAATACCTTCAGAAGAACAGTCCCTGATAGATTTCAGGTCCTTCTTCATTCATCAATAAAATCCTGAAAATACTGAAAGTACTTGACTCTGCTTTCATGTATCTCTTAACGAGACAACTATGTCTGCCTCACCCCACCAAGCAAAAATTCTAAGCAGGTTGGGGGAATCTTTCAGAGAAAGAAGCTTGCCCTAACACCAGAAAAAGTCAGCAATTTATCCACTCTAACTGCTTAACCAAGACCGGCACTCTTCCCAACAATTTCATAGAAACATAGACTCATTAGGTTGGAATAGACCTCAAAAATCTTCAAGTCCAACCATAGCCTCTAAACCATGTTCCAAAGTGCCACATCTACCTGGTTTTTTATACACCTCCAGGGACGGTGACACCACCACTTCCCTGGGCAGCCTGTTCCAATGTTTGACCACTCTTTTGGTAAAGAAATTTTTCCTAATGTCCAGTCTAAACCTCCCCTGGTGCAACTTCAGGCCATTTCCTCTTGTCCTGTCACTAGTTACTTGGGAGAAGAGACCAACACACACCTTCCTACAACCTCCTTTCAGGTAGTTGTAGAGAGCAGTAAGGTCTCCCCTCAGCCTCCTCTTCTCCAGACTGAACAACTCCAGTTCCCTCAGCTGCTCCTTTTAAGACCTGTTCTCCAGACCAGCTTCGTTGCCCTTCTCTGGACACGCTCCAGCACCTCAATGCCTTTTTCTTGTAATGAGGGTCCCAAAACCGCACACAGTATTCAAGGTGTGGTCTCACCAGTGCTGAGTACAGGGTCACAATCACCTCCCTACTCCTGCTGGCCACACTATTGCTGATACAGGCCA